TTCTTCAAAGATACATAATGGTACCCTTTCATTGTTTCAACCCTTCTTCAAAGATACATAATGGTATCCTTTCATTGTTTCAACCCTTCTTCAAAGATACATAATGGTATCCTTTCATTGTTTCAACCCTTCTTCAAAGATACATAATGGTATCCTTTCATTGTTTCAACCCTTCTTCAAAGATACATAATGGTACCCTTTAAACAGTTTAAAACAGATACACAATAGTACTCTTTCAAACAGACACAATGGTACCCTTTCAAACAGACACAATGGTACCCTTTCAAACAGAAACAATGGTACCCTTTCAAAGATACGCATTGGTACACTATCAAACAAACATAATGGCACCCTTTCAAACAGACAAAATGGAACCCTTCCAACAGACACAATGGAAACCTTTCAACCCTTTCAAACAGACACAATGTAACCCTTTCCTTGTTTCAATCCTTTCTTCAATGATACACAATGGTACCCTTTCAAACAGAAAAAATGGTAGCCTTTCAAAGATACACATTGGTACCCTATCAAACAAACATAATTGTACTCTTTCAAACAGACAAAATGGAACCTTTTCAACCCTTTCAAACAGACACAATGTAACCCTTTCCTTGTTTCAATCCTTTCTTCAATGATACACAATGGTACCCTTTCAAACAGAAACAATGGTAGCCTTTCAACCATTTTTAACACATAATGGTACCCTTTCAAACATTTCTAACAGACAAAATGGTAACCCTTAAACAAAGGCAATGGCACCCTGTTAAGCCCAGGCAACACTGAACTCATTCTTAGGAATATAGAATGCCTGACCCTATTTTAAACAGCTCTACACAATGATACTCTTTCGAGGGCACCCTTTCAAATTTAACACACTGTGTACCTTTTCAAACATATACATTGTTAGCCTATGAAACAGTCACAACTGATAATACACTTTCTATGCATATGGCATTCTTTCAAATAAACACAATCCGGCAAATCCCATTTTATCGCAAAAAGGGCTACACAAATAGGATGGAATTCATGATTATGTAATACTAGCTGAAGTGCCCGGCGTTGCCCGTGGAAGATGACAAATTTTAAATTTTAAAAAAATTCGATTTTTGAAAATGAAATTACAAAATTTTCTAAGGCAATGTTACTCCCCGGGCACCCATGGGTTCCCTCAAAATATTTCAGACCATTCGATCCAGCCTTTGGCCAGCTATATCTAACATATAAATGAAATATAAGAGCGACGAGCTTTATTATATAAATAATTAAAGATTTTAGGTTGCAGAGCAGCTCTTAAAATTTTTATATAGATTTGCAATTAAGCTCAAACTTAAGTTAGGCAAACCCTCTTACTTAGTTCATCCCCAGGAATATATAAGGGGAACTTGTTTTATACAACTCTACACAATGATATTCTTTCAAATATAATACAATGGTATCTTTTGAAACATGGACGCATGGGTGCCATATCCAACAGACACGATTATAGCCTTTTCAACTAAACATTGGAAACCTTTCAAATCAACATAATTAAATCCTTTCTATGTTACACAATAGTATAATCTTTTCAACTAAACATTGGTAACCTTTCAAATCAACATAATTAAATCCTTTCTATGTTACACAATAGTATAATCTTTTCAACTAAACATTGGTAACCTTTCAAATCAACATAATTAAATCCTTTCTATGTTACTCAATAGTATAATCTTTTCAAGCAAAAACAATGGCAAGTAATCAAATCTTTCAAAAATTTCATTCAAAAATTTATAGAAAATTGTTACCAATTATGTAAAAATACATAAAAAAATTAGGCACAGCTCTAATTGAAGCCTGACTATGCCCCCCCCTCCCTCCCCTCCCCTCTCCTACCCTGTATAAATATCAATCATCAGAGTTAATTCTCTTATAAAGAACCTGGACTTTAGCAGTTCAGCATGCATCTGTATTCTTTTATTTTATTTTTTGTAATCACTTATACTGCAGGTAGTATTAAAGAGACAAACTGCGTATTTAAAAGTGATTCTTGATGTAATCTAAGAATTCCCGTGGGTTGTGGATGAAATTGAGTGTTTTGTGTTTTATCTATTTTTTACGAAAACAATACGTCATCAAGGGTCTTTGAAAAGTCTTATTTTAAACTTTTTCGTATGTTTTTAAATTATAAGTGACTGTTCATTACTGTTAATTAAGAATTAGCAAGAATGTCCTGTTAACATTAAAAAATTTCTTTTAAAAACAAAAGTTTGTCTTATTTAAAAGAAATGATTCGTTATTCTGTTGTCTATTTGTCTTTATAATATTTATTTAGCGGGTGCAGCTGAAATTGATTCCGAGGATAGAATACAGAATCAGGTTTGTGAAAGGACATGTTGACAGAATTTAAAGTGAACATCTTAAGAATGTGATGTTAAGTACTTTCCCAAAGGATTTTCCCCAAGTGGCAACGTCCCAAGTGTGCAATTTCATAAGCAGCAACTTTCCAAGTCTGTCCTAGCCGCAGCACTCGGCACCCAGCCAGTTCTGGTCGTGGCGCTCGGCCTAGCCCATCCAAGCCGCAGCGCTCGGCCCCCAATGCAGCCTGCGGCGCCTCAGAGGGCCTAACCTAACCTTTGGGAAGCTGCTATTAAGAAAATGTCTTTGGGAAAGAACACCGAAGAATGTCATGCTCAACTCACAACGGTGCCCTTTTACTCTTAGAATAAAAGTATAAAAAAAGATATCCTTGATATTCTATTGTGGTTTCTTTGTACAAGTGACATGCAGATTTATAGAGCAGAGACAAAATTAGTGTAGATATGTTTCAGGTTTTTGTAACTGTTTTTAAGATAGGAAAGCGACGATATATTTCTTATTTTTTTTTGCTAAGGGTACCTTTGTCAACTCTTTAATTCGTGGAACCCCTTAGAATTACGTAAAACGTCCCTTTAACTATACAGTGATAGCCAGAAAACAAGGGAATAGAAAGACGACATTATTACAAATTGATGTTATTACAAAGCAAATATTGTTACTAGTAACTTAGCAAAGTTCTGTTTAAGTGAGAAGGGGTTATTTACACTGTAATGTCTAATGTTCATTGAACTGGTATAAGTCCTCCATTCAGATTAAAAGTCGTATTCCTATTTCAGAGTTAACTGGTTATGACTGTAAATAAATTATTGATTGGCATATTGACATAAAGAAAAGAAAATGTTTCACAACTGTCAGCTAAAGGAAAAGGGATTACATCTGAGCTGGACAGTTTATAATTTAGGTTTTTCTATCTCCTGACTGGACAGTATTTTTCTATTCCCTGACTGGACAGTATTTTTCTATCTCCTGACTGGACAGTATTTTTCTATACCATGACTGGACAGTATTTTTCTATTCTATGACTGGACAGTATTTTTCTATCCCCTGACTGGACAGTATTTTTGGGGATTAAAGGAAGTGTAATTGTAATTTTACATGACCTCTCATTTAATTTTCAAACTAGAAATACTACGTTTTGATCAAATTAATCTATTTAATGGGTACAAGACCCCTTCATACTATTTTATAGGCCTTCCCCCTTGCCCCTCTTTCTGTGAATTATTAAAGCTTTAAAATTCGCCTCCCAGATATCCATGCCATTATTTTAAAACTAAAAAATTGGTTTGGGGTTTCTTGCTTTTCTAAATTTACCCGGCCATAAACCTTAGCAGGGGTCAATATACGGTAGTTTCTGGGGTTTCTTAGAGCTAGGCCACTCTAGGCAAAGAAACTGAGTCTTTGCCACATACTCTGACTTTCTTATCACATCTTTGGAATCAACTGTTGCAGACCTTGGATATTTCAAACATGAATTCTGTTAGATCAAATAATCTGAGTTTGAGATATCAAAAGCTTACAACATCGGGTTCTAAAGCATGAAGTTTAAATATTTGATTTTGTTCCAAAGACGCAATTCCTCTAATCTCTTAAAAGTTTTACAAAGATATTTTGAAGTTTTTAAGTTTTTACTGATTTGGCAAAGATTACATGATAGGAAGATCCGAAATAATTAAAGGTTCTTGCCAAGAAAAGAGACATTTTCAAGGCTAATGAAAATGACTTTTTTCGTCGTTTTTTTATATTCTAGGCTTAGAGCCCATATTCTATTTCAATTGTAAACATTTTCTCTTTAAATACATCATAAAAAAAAGTATTGTGGATTTTTAAAAAAAATTTCGTGGATTTTCAAAATGTGCTCAAGATCGAATTTTGTTGGAGGCAAATTTTAAAATTTTGATCTTCTACAAACCTTCCAGGGGACATGTGAAGTCCCACACAAAATTTGATCCCGATCGGTTTAGCCGTTTTGAGGTTTATTGGATACAAACAAACACCCAGACACCCAAGAAAAGTATATATGTAGTTAATTGTTAATCGCTAGTGCTTAGTTCAGTTTTTTCTCCAATCGAAGTCCGAATTTATTGAGCTTGAGCCGCGTCTCAAATCCGCCAAAAACCGGTTTCAATTGAGCGCCGGCTTAAATCTTGAAACATTGAATACAATTTTTAGTTGAACCAACCATGTTTGAGCCGCATCTTAAATTTAAGCCGCGGCTCAAATTCTTTAAATTCTGCCTCTGATTGACTTGTAAAAGAATAATATTTCAGAATGAAAAGCAAAAAAGCTTCAGAATATTGAAGAATGAGGTAATTTTTGTTAAATCTTAACTTTTATTTAATTTTATTTTCTGCAACAATAAATTATTTTTGAGATCAAAATTGTAATGTTTGTTACTAAAACTGATTTTTTTTTGTTGTTGAAAAAGTCTCAATATTTTTATTTTATTTGAATATAAATGACTTTTTTATTATAGGAAAAAAGGAGCCCCTACACTCCACAATGGTTGATAAAACAAATGCAGGTCATTTTTAAGTCGAAGAGATATCTTCCCATAGCAATATTCAGCTTATTATAGTTTTACAAGTAGCAGTATTCTAAATTTACAATTTTAAAAGTAGCGCTATTCCAAATTTATAGCTTTTTATAGTTTTACAAGTATGCAGTATTCTAAATTTACAATGTTAAAAGTAGCAATATTACAAATTTATAGCTTTCTATAGTTTTACAAGTAGCAGTATTCTAAATTTACAATGTTAAAAGTAGCAATATTACAAATTAAACATTTACAAAAGGCAAGTATCTAAATTTTAAAAATCGATATAAACCAGAAAATGGTCGTGAAGTTCATGTACTTTGAGGGACGATAGGTTAGTCGCTAGATGACTCTCGTATGAATTATCTATCTATATGATAAGAATTTTGCGTGAGACATCTAGCGGCCAAACTATCGTCACCTAAAGTAAGTGAACTTCACGACCACAGTTTAAACATATTATGGAGAGAACGGGATCAGGGGGCTGGAATTTAGCCTTATGTACAATTAGGACATTTAATGATAAATTATAGCCCTATAATTCATACAGTACAACTATCAATTATGCAGTACGGTTTTGGAACACAAGTGTATGGGGAGGTTTTGATCGTAGATGAAATATTGCTTTGTAAACGACTGTACTAGTACGTCTTCCTGTATAAATGTAATCCTGCACACAATAAAAAAGCAGTTGATTTCAATAGTTAAATGGAAAGGAAACTCTCCTAACCAAATATGCAATAGGCATTTTGAAAAAAAATATTTTTAGAAATCACCCCCAAGTAAACTGAAATATACAGATTGATCTTTAAAAGTGGAGTACATGGCCTGTAGAATTAGTAAAGGATCAGCGTACATCATTACTCTATTTACTATAACCTCGTTGATATAAACCTACAGTCTAGAGAGAGGGAATCTTCCTCTAATTATATTAAATTGAAGAGATATCTTCCCATAGCAATATTCAGCTTATTATAGTTTTACAAGTAGCAGTATTCTAAATTTACAATTTTAAAAGTAGCGCTATTCCAAATTTATAGCTTTTTATAGTTTTACAAGTATGCAGTATTCTAAATTTACAATGTTAAAAGTAGCAATATTACAAATTTATAGCTTTCTATAGTTTTACAAGTAGCAGTATTAATTATCTCTCTATCAGAAAAGAATTTTGCGTGAGACATATAGCGGCCAAACTATCGTCCCCTAAAGTACGTGAACTTCACGACCACAGTTTAAACATTATCATGGAGAGAACGGGCTCCGGGGCCTGGATTTTATCCTTAATGTACAATTAGGACTGTTTACTGATAAACGTTATAAAGAGATTATGGCCCTATAATTCATACAGTACAACCAGAGATAAGAGAGTTACAGAGATCGATTAACACTTATAATATGCAATATTTTCCACAGCATGTACTATTGCGTACAAGTACTGTACACGACCAATCAGGAGACATCTGTTTTCAGGGATATTTAAGGATCCTTTAAATGGGAAATGCAAAATAGACAATATTCATGAACGTTTTGTTTTTTGTTTAAAAATTGGAGAATTTTTTTAAAAGTTGTAAAACTTAACCCCTGAATGCAACAAGTGGCCGTGATATTTCAGTCAAAAAACATTACATGGAACTGTAGCATGGCGTGCCGGGACACTATTGGCCGTATGTGTATGAGCAGTCTCTGTTGTCTGTGAGTACAACTATCAATTATGCAGTACGGTTTTGGAATAGAAGTGAATGGGGAGGTTTTGTATCGTAAATTTTACTCAGTTTATAAGCGATGAAAGATTGCTTTGTAAAAGACCGTAACTGTACTAGTACGTCTTCCTGTATGAATGCAACCCTGCACACAATAAATAAGCAGTTGCTTTTAATAGTTAAATGGAAAGCAAATTCTCCTATCCAAATATGCAATCGTCATTTTGAAAAAAAAAATTATTTTCAGAAATTACCTCCGAGTAAATTGTAATATAAAGATTGATCTATATAAGTGGAGTACATGGCCTGTAGAATTAGGAAAGGATCAGCGTACATCATCACTCCATTTACTGTAACCTCGTTGATAAAGAGTAAAGACCTACAGTCTAGAGAGAGGGAATCTTCCTCTAATTATATTAAATTCTTTGAATCATAGTAAAATGTTAGTTAAGAAACAAATGAAATATTTTGATGTACCATTGGAACATGCGTGGAAAGTTCCGGTTTTACAAGAACTTTTAAGTACAAGAATGAATGATTTATATGCTGAAGGATTTGATGATTATACGTAATAACTGAAATGATAAATATGTTATGTAATGAGTAATGATCAATGTCGACTATTTCATAATTCAGCATATTTATTTCTTTTCTTTTGGAAACCTGTATTTTCAAAAATTTATTCAAACAAATTTAAACTGCACTAATTTATTATATATGTATTTATATCTCTGTATGTGAATCAATCTTTATAATAATAGAAAATAATGTAAAATGCGACCGACTAGGGCTTGGTGTGTTCCTCCTTTTTAATCGTTACTTTCGTTCCGTTCCTTTCCTTTCCGTTTGTTCCTCTGACAGAACGATCGTTCCTACGGAACAACGTGCGCCCAGCCCGTGAGCTGGCCATATTCCTATTTTTTTTTAATTGTTTGGTTTGTTTCAATCCGTTCTTTCCCTTGAAAGAACGATCGTTCCCGAGTAACGACGATCAGTGCTATACGATCGAAACATGCTTTGATGGTTTAGGAAAAAAGGGGGAGCCACTCTTTAAAATGGTTGCTAAAACAAATCCAGGTGAAAATAACTTAAAAGAGAGTTTCTTAATTTAAAAATGATAACTATCTCAAGTGCATCCAAGCAAGGGAGTAAGGAATAGAAGGGAGATATAACTGACGCGGTTCGCCCTACCATGTGATTATACATGCTTTGCAGACGGGTACTTCATTTGTATAAGAAATTTTCAGAATAGGTTACTGTATACACGGAAATTGCACATAAGACAAATATTTCTTATTCAAATGAAGTTCCTTACTCCCTGATTCAAGAAGTAGGAATTTTTCCCATTTGCATTTTCCAAGTAGCATCTATAAAATTATAATTTCACTCGTAGAAAAAAAGTAGTATAGAAAGTAGAAATATACCAAATGTAAAATTTGCCAAGTAGAAATAGTGCAAATTTACAGCTATATCAATATTTCAAATATTCCAAATAATAAGAGTATTCCAAATTCACAGTTTCCAAAGTAGGCACTGAGCTGCTATATTGCTTACATTAAATTCTAATTTACAAATACCGATAGTTTAAACTTGGAATTTTTGTTTTAACAAAATTTATCACAGGTTTACGGCATCAGGTTGAAAATATTCTGTGGAAATATAACTTTCTTGTGACTATCCATGCAAAAATGTCAATTCCCGATTCACAATGGCACCCTTAAAAACTTTATATGATCAGCAATGTGGACCATGTATATTGATAGGTTTACATGTGTTTAATTCTGACATTTTCTAAATATTTTCCTGAAGTGGAAATGCGCAAATAACTTTTGAAAAGAACCCACAATTGAAAATTGATAATTGATCAAACAAAGCTTTCAAGGGCCGACGTTGCCATCTTTGCATGGAAGGTGACTTGAAATTACGCTTACACACGGTCCCTTAGATTTTATAATTTATGAATACTTGTTTACACACGATCCCTTAAATATTATAATTTATGAATACTTGTTTACACACGGTCCCTTAAATATTATAATCTATGAATACATGTTTACACACGGTCCCTTAAATATTATAATTTATGAATACTTGTTTACACACGGTCCCTTAAATATTATAATTTATGAATACTTGTTTACACACGGTCCCTTCAATATTATAAAAAAAGGTCTTTTTATCCCTGCTTGGCTGAAAAAACAATTTAAGGTTTGTCTTGGATATTTCATAGAATTAAAAATCTTCCTTCAGATTTACTGTTAAAGTTTAACATAGTGATCTTTCTATGTATAAAAATAAAACTAAAAGATTAGAAAAAATCCCTTTGTTTTGGAACATTTACAAAATCTTGAAATTGACAATGTATTTTGATAAATATACATATGTACTTGATACTTGATAGTATTTTCTAATGAAAAATAATCCCAGAGCCCAAATCTTGAAATTGACAGTGTATTTTGATAAATATACATATGTACTTGATATTTTCTAATGAAAAATAATCCCAGAGCCCAAATTCAAAGATTTTGAGATTTTCTAATGTAAACCACCCGATTTATACAAGAAGGATTACAGAAGCATTTGAATTAGGGTTTCCACGAAACAGAAGATTCTTTTGCGCAACAGTTTCGCGTTTTTCCACAAAATAACTTTATTTGCACTAAATTTTGCATCATTTTCGTATCAATATGAAACCAGGTTTTTACGAAATTGCGCATTTATTCGAAATAAATATTTTTTATTTGCACGAAATTGCTGATGAATCATAATAAAAATCATAATTTTTGCATTATTTTGTGCATTAATTCCAAAGCTGCATTATATTATTCAAGAACAATAATTTCATTATTATCATTTTCTATAGTTTGACACGCTAAAAATGTTGGTTATACATTCTTAATTAAAATTTTTTTTTTATGATAAATATGTTTTGAAAAAACAAATTTGTTATGATAAATATGTTTTCAGAAAACGCTAAAGAAGGCATTAGATGTTCATCTGTGTATTAATGTATATAGATTTGTAAACATTTCTCTTGTTTAAATGTCTTTTTTTTTGTTACCTAATGGTAACTTACTCAAAACCTTAGAAGTGATTCGACCTCCAAAGGTGCGAGTGAGAGCGGGCCGGAGTATATTGGGGCTCTGATTGGTTTAATTTTGGATTTATTCATTTCCTAGAATTGTTACTCTAGAAATTTAACGAAATAGCTCGAAATAACGAAATAACAGGAATAACGAAATGCGCAAAAACCAAGAATTTCTTCATAATTTGCGCGAAATAGCTTTTGCGCATCAATGCGAAATTATATCAAAATTTTGTGCAATTTCTACTCGAAACGTAAGTTAATCTTTGCACAATTATTTCATGATTTTCGTGCAAAAATTTCGATTGGAAACCCTAATTTAAATTGGTGGTTCAAACTTGAACCAGCGTTAGGCAGTTCAGCCAGGTTGGCTCAAATTCTTTAAATTCAGTCTCTGGGTACTCTTTATTATTTTTTTCTTATTATTTGTATTTTAATTTTTCAGGAAAACAATATGAAAAATTTATACATAGATGGGGAGCAGGTAAAGGGGAACATTTAATATTTTTTAGTTTTGAAACCAAATTTATCAGTTTCAGTAAAAAAGGAGTGAAATTTGTCTTTTTTTTGGTTTTTAATTTGAAATAAAGTTAAACATTATGTAATACAGTTAGAATTATAAAACCCTGGATTAGGAAGACGACTGTTATATTAAAGTTTTGAGTTTAAATAGTCCAATAAACATGAGACACAGCAAACAGACCCATTTCACTGAATATGTGATTTAATAAGTTACTGGTAAAACAATTTGCTTTGTAACAACATCAAAACACTTGATTATTGCTTTAATGTCGTCTTCCATTTCCCCAGTATTTGGCACGCAATGGTCATGATTGAGATGTATCTGAAAATGTGACTGAAATTGTTCAGGGAACATTTTCAGAGTATAAAACAATTAAAATTCAAAAATACGACGCCTCTTATTTAAAAATATTCAAAAATATAATGGTTATAAATTTAAGTAAATAAATTTACGATATTTCTATGAATTTTTTCAAAATAAAATTAAAACTTGAAAAGGTTCAATTATTACATAATTTCTAAGGAATTTTTTTTAAGTACCCGTGAAAACCTCATGTCAGCTTTATCTGGCCAAAGTTTAGCTCAAGTTAATATGCAGAATTGATAAAATAAAAGTTAAGAACTCTTAACTGTAAAACCTGTCTAAATATGGGCTGCAATGGTCAACAATCGGGTTTCATACCCCTCTGTGTGATGCCCCCAATCATAAATCAAAATTTGTCTGCCCTCGTGCGTCTATTTTTAGCAGCTGCAGCTGCTAGCTGACAGCTTGGACAACTTGCCAGCTAATTTTTGACTTCTCCATATGTTTTAGCTAAATTATTTAGTCTCTTTTTGGTTAACTAAAAGTTAGCCTTTTGATTTTAAAAAGCTAGTCTAAATACAAGTTTTTTGGCTCAAATGAAAGCGTGCCATTCCCACAGCTATGAGGGTGTCTCTCATCTAGATCTCTCTCTAAAATGTTTCCTTTCGTGAGGGAAAACATTGTAACATAGAGCTAGCCGTAGGTTAATGTGATATATTTATAAATAAGAGTTTAAAAAGATATTTAAAACTTTCTGAGAGAAAATTCAGTGCATTTTCCTAATGAAATTATTATATTTTAAAAAAGTAAAAATTATTTTTAAACCCAAAGCTTTACTTTTAAATTATAAACATTTGTTAAGAAAATTGAATCTTAAATTTCTTACTTTTTTAAATTTTACCGCTAACATTAAAGGGAATGTTAAGAAAAAATGAAAGGGGGTCTAGGCTTACAGTGAAAAATAATCGCTTTTGATTGCTACTAATCATACTTCTATCTGTTCTGTCTATAAAGATACTGATGCACATAGCTTCCATACAAATTAAGAAAGTTGGAATATATGACTCGTATCGTAAAATAATCAATTTAGTTTTAATCAAATCATTCAGATATTGCAACCTACAGTCATAGATTATTTTTCGATGCATTCGTATACAGTTAATATTTCATAATATTTGTTTTATATACAATGCACTTAAAACGACTTTTTTTCTGCTAGGTGTCTCTGCCATGTGTAATCATAAAAACACTGAGAGCAGAGACATCTGGCAGCCAACTCTTTTGACGTTTTAAGCAATCAAAAGTGATTATTTTTCGCCGTAGCCTATACCCCCTTTCATTCTTGGCAATTACTTCCGTTAAGAGACACCTAGCGGTGAAAATAAAAAAATCTCTCCCTCAACATGTACAGTGTATGGGATAAGGGGGGGGGGTGGACCAGGGACAATTTTCTCACAGCTTAAAACATATGTGAAATTTGATCCACGGATGTATTGAGGTGTGACTTTTTCTAGCCAAATTAGACATCTAGCCAAAAATGGAAAAAAGGGAATCAACAATTGGAAGGGTAGTTTATACGTGTTAGGGGGGAAATATATTTAAAAATTAACCATTTAAAAATGTCTATTTACGGAGATTTCATGGACAATTGTTGACTTGTGAGCTAGAAAAGTCAACAAAGTCAGCAGGGAAGTTAGACTTGGTTTATACGGGTATGGAATAGATAACAACTGTTTCTAACGCATGCGATTCTTTTGCCGTGCATGCGCATGCTTTGAATTTATGAAATAAATGCTTAGAAGTCACAATTTTTGTGTCAATTTGAGTGACATTGATATTTTGATTTATTTTAGAGTATTATTCTTCATTCTTCAACTATGAATTATAAAAAATGAAAAATGTAAGGATTAAAAAACCCTGTTTTTTAGGGAAAAAGAGGTTCCTACATTCCTTCATGGCTTCAAAAGAAAATTCAGGTACTTGGCTTGCTTGATTAAGAATGGATAACAATAATACTCTAAAATACAAATAAATTTATTTTAGAGAACAATAGTTTCTAATCGGAATTCCGTTGGGCGAAATTACGGGGCATTGCACAGCATTACCCGGCATTTCGCGGAATTGCGCTTCATTTCGTGGAATTGTGCGGAATTGCATAGAACTGCGCGGCTCGCATTTGCGCGCAAGTAAAATCAAGTAAAATTCACTTGTATTTGAAACCCAAACTGTAACCTTTCTTCGAAATATGTCAGCATTGGTATACGGAGAATTGGTTCCAACATTTGCTGGAGAAATAATCTAAAGAATATCTCCTGAGAAATTTAAAAAAAATATTTCCTTAAACTTACCGGTAATATTTTGGAGGAAAAACTTTCGAATTTCCCCCCCAAAAATATTCCCAAGATTATTTTAAAGAACCGGTCTCTGTAAGACAGGGATTTATAACTATAGCTAAAATGATTTTACAAATATGATTAAAAACGATAACAAAAAAGGCCGAAGTCCTAACAATTCCAAAATGTGGCCTGCCTTTAGTGCGCTTAATATTACAAGAGATATATGCAGGGGGGATGATAGTTCTCTACCTGTGGACTCAGTTAGCTGTACTGTACTGTACACTTACAACTTTACTAATATTGATGTACTATAGTCTATAAGTTAGGCCAGAATCAACGTATAATAAACAAATATGCAGTACGCTCTCGGTATAGTTTATGGCCTAGTATAACAGTGAATATTTGCAAAGTAAGAACGCAAAATCGACCTTTAAATCTTCGATCCTGACGCTAACCCTCGCACTTTGTTGCGCTGGATCTGCAAGGTTGCTCCTAAGCGTGCCGCTTCAAAAAATTTGTTTACAATACTGCACTCTCAACTCCCATGTCTAGTCAGACACTCCCTTCAAATCTATTCTTATATTGTTGATATTAATGATAAAGGCGCAGAAATCATCAACTGCAGAAACAATAACAAATCTTAAGGTAATTAATATCAAATTTTATTCAAAACATTCTAATTGACATATTTAATTTCGAATGAATTACATACTATATAATTTTTACAATCTGGACTCTGGAGTATAATATAGAAAGGTCAGGCATACAATCTTAATCCGTTTCAATCATAATGCGCTTTTTTGAACTAAGAATCCCAACATATAAAATCTGTAAGATTATTATAACAATTGTTGCAGTTTTAAGTGATCTTTCATTTAAAGAGGGGAAAATGACCGATTCAAAACGACACCCTTTTATAACCTTTATCTGAGTAATAATGAGGAGGATAAAGTTGTCAAAAAGTCTTGAATTCTGAAAATTAAGTTTAATAGTCTGGGCTGTTATAAATATTAATGTCATTTTTGTAGAGGAACCAAAAAAATATTTATTACGAAAAAACTAGGATATCTCATTTATTGTTGATGAAAAAGGTTAACACTGCGGATCGGCAAAATTGAAAATAGTCAATATCGCTTGAAAATCTAGGATATCTGACTTATATGAGGATTAAAGATGATTAAAGGCTGCTGAAAGGTGACCGTTGTGAATCTGACATTCTCCTGGTAAAAGTTGAGGGTCATAAAGAATTATGTCTTCAGCACCTTTTAAAAACCAGAAAAAAATCATCTTAAAAACTGAGAATTGTGTTTAGAGTGATCAAGCAAAGTTTGATTATTTCAAAAAGTTCCTGGACCAATATATTTCTAAAATTAAAGAAAAGGTAGAAACTGTTCATCAAGCATTTCAGATAAACCACAACAAACTAACTAGATATTAGTATGTCCTGGTAAACCACACCAAACTAACTAGATATTAGTATGTTCTGGTAAACCACACCAAACTAACTAGATATTAGTATGTCCTAGTAAACCACACCAAACTAACTAGATATTCGTTTGTGCTAGTAAACCACACCAAAATAACTAGATATTAGTATGTCCTAGTAAACCACACCAAACTAACTAGTTATTCGTTTGTGCTAGTAAACCACACCAAACTAACTAGATATTAGTATGTCCTGGTAAACCACACCAAACTAAACAAGATATTAGTAAGTAAACCACACCAAACTAACTAGATATTAGTATGTCCTGGTAAACCACACCAAACTAACTAGATATTAGTATGTCCTGGTAAACCACACTAAACTAACTTTATATTAGTATGTCCTAGTAAACCACACCAAACTAACTAGATATTTGTATGTCCTGGTAAACCACACTAAACTAACTATATATTAGTATGTTCTGGTAAACCACACCAAACAAACTAGATATTAGTATGTCCTGGTAAACCACACCAAACTAAACAAGATATTAGTAAGTCCTGGTAAACCACACTAAACTAACTAAATATCAGTATGCGTTTAATTATATGTAATTGCAAGAATAAAAGGATTTTTATTTAAATTTCCTGCCCTCTATTTAAGATTTCCTGCCCTCTATGTAAGATTTCCTGCCCTCTATTTAAGATTATCTGTCCTCTTCTTAAGATTTCCTGTCCTCTATTTAAGATTTCCCGCTCTCTTTTTAAGATTTCTTGCCCTCTATGTAAGATTTCCTGCCCTCTATTTAAGAATTCCTGCCCTCTAGTTAAGATTTCATGCCCTGTATTTCAGTTTTCTCATACTGTAAACGTAATTTAATCAAGCATTAATTTCAAGAGCGGCATGTTTAATTCACAACGGTGTCATTAAATACTTTATATAAGTTGTGAGGAAGATATTGTCGTTTTTCTGTCTTGTTCAATGATTTAATATTTTCCTTTATCATCTTTTTAGTTATAATTAGGATATAAATAATTCATCGTGGATTGAACAAAGTTTGAAAGGGTATTGTTGTGAATAGGACATGTAAATATGGTCAAAAACTTTTATAAATGTTCAAACCTTGGTGTGTCGCAATACCTTGGCCTTTTAACTGTTTACTTTAATTATAATTTTTGAAGACATGTTTATTTTAAAACTTGAAAGCAAGGAAAGATATATTTATGATTTATTTTAGGTTCCGGCGTCAAGCGGAGGACTGAAGTTGGATGAGGAAATTTAATTTGATGATAAAAGGAATTCAAGTATATGCGGATACAATACTGTTGGCATCAGAAAACATTCGAATTCTCGTCAGCTTCTTTTAATACCTAATGTAGATTAGAATTTTATAATAATTTTTTTTTGCCAAATCATTATATAAGCCATGAAAGACTGTGCTTAAGGTAGAAGACATAATTTAACCATGGAATCTTTATATTTGTCGTCTTTACGGTCTTATCTTGGTATGTTACTTATTTGAAAAACGCTTTAATATGTGACAAATTAAATGTTATTAGGTGTCAAAAATAAGTTTAATCGGCAAAAGGAAACACTTATTGAAATACGATTTTTTTCAGGTTTTGAAAAGAACTGAGTTTTTACCACAAGCTGAAATTTTCTAATCCCTAACTCTTTGCAACTAGATGGTGTATATCTTTGATATTTAAAACTTAGATTATTTGATCTCACCGAATTTATATTTTAAAAAAAGTGTCAAGGTCAAGGTCGGCTGAATTTGAAGACTTTGTTGGACCAAATGACGATGGATTATCTTTGTTTAATGGAGTGTTTGAGCTTAATGGAAAACCTGATGGAGATTTAGAATATGGTGATGAAGATTCAGCAAGAATTATGGAAGATGAAAAGGCAGATACTGTGGAAGATGGAATAGCAGATACTGTGGAAGATGGAAAGGCAGATACTGTGGAAGATGGAATGGCAGATACTGTGCAAGACTATGATTTGATGGATGATGGGTAATTATCAAACAAAAATGAGCGCAAAGATAAAAATAAAAAATCTAAAAAATTCAAATTAAATAAAAAGGAAATAAAAAGAAAAAAAAAACAAAACAATTTGTTTCAGAACATTGTTTCTTTTTAAATACAGTGAAAACTAAAAATGTATTTAGTGAAATGGGTCTGTTTACACTGCGCAATTGCTCTTGAATTTAAAAGTCGTCTTTCTATTGCAGAGTTTTCTAGTTTTCACTGTAGGAAAGTTAATATATCAAAATGGCATAAGTCATGAGTTACTGACAAGATTAATTTCTGAAAACTGAATTTTGAATTTGAGTTTTTTAGTTTCACATTCGTAATATTAATGGGATTGTTTACTATTCCTAGCATTAATCATAAATATCAGAGGACATGGTTTAAGGGTTAAATCAAGAATCAAATATACCAGCCCGTATGTAAGCTGTGAGTTAAAACTATATACTTGGATATAATTTGGGTTTTCAAATAGCTCAAAGGTCGACTGCAGCTATCGTAATTTCAGGTGACCCTCATGTAATGATGAAAATGCATGATTTATAACATGACCCTTAAAACATTTATCTGATCAATAATGTGGCAGATATTGTCGTTTTTCTAAGGTTAAAAGTGTTTAATTCTGACAACTTCTATAGCAGGTTTTCCTGCAGTAGAAATGCACCTTTTTTAATCCATACTTTATCAGACAAAGCGGTTACTGTTGGGGATCGGGAATAATTATCTTTGTGTGGATTCAAGCGAGATTCAAGTAGTTTTCAACATATTTAAACAAACAGCTCTTTTTACTCGATGAACAGTCAATATAGATCGGACATTACTCTCTTTGCATGGAGGGTCATTTGAAATTATGCGAACACTCCCTTGAGCAAAAATGTCTGTGTCCGACCTCTGCACTGGGTTAAAATATAAAATTCTTGAAAAGTATTTTCTGATATTGTAGAAATATAACCGAGGCCTGTGCTAACTTTATATCTATGGTTGATAAGTTCCTGATCTTGAAAGAGGTAAAAACAAAGTTTTATAATCTGTACTTTTCTATAAACTAAACAAATTGTAAATTGTGTAATTAATTTTACATTTAGAAACTTTTCCCTTTACAACCATATTAGAAATTATATCGAAATATATCACTAATTTTTTCTGTCTTAAAAAGTGTTAATTTCCTTCATATCTCCTAAATATAAATACACACGTAACTTTTAAGAGAAACCACAATTGAAAAAAACACATTTAGCCACTTAGAATTTTGAATTTTAGTCTTGTATGCCGAGTCCATTAGCGCCTGATTCAATCAGGCTTCAGTCATGTATTTGTTGTCTATTCTGAACCAATAGAAGTTACATTGCGGTAACATCTATCTCATTATCCAATTAGAGATAAATCCTTATATCGGCGCTAACAGAAATGGAAATATTTACTTCTACTGAAACTATGGTCTACTTACTTAAAATATTTCAATATTAATATATGCTGGGGTCGATCTTAATGAATAGAAGAGAGCTCGCTAAACTAATACCAACCGCTGAACTGTTCACCTTCTCCAACTCCTGAATCACCGATTCTGAACAGCCTTTGATTTGATAGCATTCTTAACGTAAACCAAAGAGTATGCACATACGCAATACAAAATTATTTCTGATATAACAATATACTTTGTATAAATTTTTTCCAGCAACTGCACTCTTTTCCTCCCTAATTAAGATACTTTACTGTAGAAAGACGACTTAAAGGTCGTCTTAGATCTTCGAAATTATTTGTGGCATTCGTTCGTCGACCTATTTTTACTTGTATGATTATTGAAACAGTAATAAAGAATTCTGCTGGTTATGGCATTACTAAAATGTTGCCAGACTTTTACATGGTGTCAACATTGCCTAATTTATTAAGAATTTCGTTCAGATTTTGACTTTATATAAAACCAAAATTATCATAATCTGAACAAAATTCTTAAAATCTTCGGTAATATTGAAAGCACAAAAAAAAGGTAGACCCCATTTAGGAAATTCCAGGACTAGTCTTATTATTCAAATATATAAACTCTAGAATTATACAGAAAAAAAAAATCTGAATTATTTGCTCCTTTGAATTGTTACCATGGTACTATATATGAATGAATTTCATCCTGAAAGCTTTGCAAAAAAAAAAATTTTAGTTCATTTTAACAAATAATTAATAATTTATTATCTTGTTTCCTATTTGTTTAATAACCTTGAATTGATGGACTCATCTCCACAAAAATGACTTGAAATTTGAATATGCAACATTTACACCAATACTTTGCAATCAGTTACTTTCAATGACTTATATAGATCATAATTAACTGATTTTTTTGAACTTTTGACACTTTTGAAAAGTATTATCACAGAAATATAAACTTTGGTTCATATAAAGTTGCGGAACGACTTTTAAGCAGCCAGAGCAAACTGTACAAGTATAGGCTACACAAGGCAAACACGGGACAGATCACCAAATTGAATAAGCCTTTTCTAGGGAGTTTGCGTGACAATATGCTGTCACGAAAAAACTCCTTTTAAGACTTAAACTAGAAACACGCGCGGTGTAGTTTTAAAATTTCGAAGTCTAGGGCTACATAAAAGGTAGAAGTGATTTAGTGATGCAGAGCCAAAGGCCAAGGGATTGAGATAATTAAACAATTTTAAAACTGTTAAAAGAAAAAAAACTTTACTAAAAAAACGAACGAAGTTGTGACTCACTGGAATCTCCATAGAAAAGGCTGATTCATTTGGTATCCAGTTTTGCCATATATAGTCGGTATGTGTACTGTACGTACAGTTTGCTCGAACTCTTGCTTGAAAGTTGGCCCGGTACTTGAAATGAATTGCAGTGGACTGTTGGTGAACATTTATTTTAGAAGTTGTCAACCCAGGCTACTCCCCTGGCACAAGCTTCAATCCGAATAATTGACCATGTCATCAATAAGGTGACACAGAGATAAATTTTCTTGGCTGACATCACTTCTTAAAGAGACTGTTTACGAAATTTTAAGTGAATTTTTATACAAAATATCAAATTTGTCCTATTCAAAAATTAGAAATATTTTAAAATTTCAATTGTAGTTTAAATACCAAGTAGATACATATAGATTGAAAAGTTGTATTTATGATTCACAACGGTACCTTTAAAACCTTTGGCACTGAGTTATGTTTTTGTTGTTGTAATTTTCCCTTATTTAGTTAAACCAGGAGCAGGAATTTTGTGCTGACGAACTTCACCTTGAAAGGTGAAAAACCAATTTATTTGAAAGAATTTGAATTTTCAAAAAATAATTTTAGATCTCTACAGTAACAAATTAAAAAGTATCAATGTCCTGAATTTTTATGCATTATATAATACGTTCAAAGGAAGGCGACATTTAAAAGTCATTTACTTTTCAGGCAACCGTTCATTCTTAGCTTAGATACTGACCGTATTTTCCGTTCTTTCTGAGAGTTACTGTTTGTTAACGCTCTCAATTTTATTAACAGCGTTAACTGGAGAGATTTCTAGTCGTTAACGATTGTTTCATGTAAAAATAGCGGGGAAAATTAAAAGGCGACATTTAAAGGCACAAAAACACGGAAAAACACATGTTTTTTAAAGTTTCTAGCAATTTGTAGGAGAATTTCACCATCATTTTGAAAACACAACTCTTTGTAGTTTGTCTTATTAAATTTTCTGTACATTTTTTGAACATTTATTTTCGTTCGTTAACGATGTAAAAATTAACGATTTTTGCTTTTCATTAACGGAACGTTGCCCACCAGCCCATCTCGTTAGTTTTACATAAAAAGTCATATCTCCAAAGTTAAAGTGTGAACTAATTTTTGTCTTGGTTTGTTTACATTTTGAAGTTAATGTTTATTTTCAGGTTATTTTAGATAATGCCAACTCTGATAATTACCCGGTCCCACGAGGAGAAATTGGACCTGATAATTAATCACCGTGTTTATAGTTTAGAACTAAGTAAATAATTATAATTTAAAATCTGTGATTATTTAAAATTAAGTCTATTCAAATACAAATAAATTATATTAGGTTTTTTATTCATTTACAGGGTTACCCATAATTAGGATGAGACTAGGAAGACTATTGTAAACTCTGAAAATAGAACCATTTTAAAAACAAACAATACTGCCTTAAATGTGGTGTTAAAATGATTTATTTATGGAATTAACTTAGAAAGAAAGAAACTTATAGTTGCAGGGAATCAAACAATAAACATTATTCAACACAATAGATGTCAACGTACGATAGTTCATAATTAGTTCAAAATGAGACCCAGAAAACTACGGAATAGAAAAGTTATAATCCTAAATAGTCCTAGGAACATGATCCAGAGCAATATTGTCTTAATAAAAGATCTTTGAGGTTTATTTTAAAACTTTTAGTTTTTTAACGCGTAAACATTGCTTTAATGTCGTCTTCCTACCCTAAAGTTTTCTGGTTCTCACTGTAGAAGGTTAGGATCTTTTTAAATAAAAAATATGTTTGATAGAGAGTATTCCCTCTGTGAATCCGTCTCTTAAGCCTGAAAGGAACTGTAGCGAGGATTTTCTATTCACAACTGTACCTAGACAGATTTGTCTGATCAACATCCATCTTTTTGTTTTTTAAACTGTTTATCTTCATTTGTGGTTTCTTGCGTTATTANTTTTACACAACTCAAAAAGTACTGGTCTGAGGCTGTTGAATTTTTTCTTACTTTTCCGAAACAGCCATAGCCCTCCCTTTAGGCCTCTAAAACCGGGCTTTTATAAAAACTGCATGAGTCCTCAGGCACAATGCCTGAATGACTGAATCCTGTAATAAACTAAATCTTTGTTTTGACCCACTTTCAGTTGTCAGATTTTGATAATGTTTAGATTTTTGGAAACCCTATGCCATAAGGAAACGGATTGCACAAGTTTTGCAAAGAATATTTGCATAGAACCAGTCAAAAGAAATAATTGCACCTTATTGTTATAACCAATCGGTCTCGATCTGAAAGTAAGTCGCCCCTGGATTATCCCTCTCCTGTACAATGAGTTGCCCCTGGGGGAGATGTGTACTGCTTGTACGATTCCTTTAGTGTCACTTTTTTATTGTGATTGTAGCATAAATGCGTTGAAAACAAGTGTTTTATATTTAAACCCAGCTGATTCCGTTCAAATAGATCAAATACCTAATTATTATAATGATACATGCATTTCCACCCCTCATATTAACATACCAGGACAGGGGCGGTTACAGGGGGGGGGCAGGACCGTCGCACCCCCCTGACGGATTCAGATTTTAGAACAGCTTTTCAATAGCACTTAAGGGAAAGAACCCCTAGTGCAAAACATGAAAAATATCTATTTAAAAAATTTTGTTCCTAAATCTTGATGTTTTTGTTCTGAATTAAATCTAGCACACCCCTCACTTAAATCTTGTATCCGCCCCTGTCAAGGGATATATTGATGACTCTTATTGTAATAATATGGGGATTTTGGAAGTTTATTGGATAAACTGAACGCTGTGAGGAAAGAAGCCAAGCAGCTCGCCAGATCCAACCTAAATTAACCTACCTACCATGCAACAAATCTACACATGGTTCGTACTCAGGATTACCGTAGTACTAATACTTCTAGGAACTCTTATCTTGATAACGCATTTCTAGATATACCTGATAATCTTAATAACTGTCTGACTAAAACTTTGCTGTCTTCTGTGTCCAGGNTGTAGTGGTGTCAGGATCAGAACCTGGCATAGTTCGTTCGGATTCAGAACAAACCAAGATCACCTAAACCCAAACCTAATTCTGCTCACTGGGTTCAAGAAGGAACTGAAGTTAGCTCTGATATTAATTCCTTAACTAGTGTTGTTTAGTGGGGTATATTTTAAAGAACTTGGAAATTTCTAAATTGACTGGATATTTGGGAGTTTCTCAAAAACCTTAGCATTTTGAAAATTCCTCAATAGTCTGGGTAATAAGGGGAATTCCCCAAATGCCTGGGTATCTTGGAAATTTCCAGTCATTTGAGAAATTTCCAAAATCTTAAAAATATACCACCCTTAAATGTCTGTAGGTATTTGGGAAATTTCCTAGATACCCAGGCATTTGGGAAATTTCCCAAATACCCAGACATTTGGGGAATTAACTGAAGTTAACTCTTATAATGATTATTCCCCAATTAGTGTTTTTGCAACCACATATCACAATACTCAGTGCAGTATCCTGCCAATCTTAAGTTTCCTTGTCATATAGGAAACCATAAAGCCCTAGGTCTTGCAACAATTCAAAGTAAATCCGAGTCTTAAAAATGGGTCACCTTTGTGGGCCCTTCCTTTAAACCATTTAATTTGAACTTTTTTTTAATAATTGTTCATTTCCCGTTTTAACTTTATTCTACTGACAATGGACATGTGCCAACTTTTCTGTGTAATCTCAGACATTGGATCCAATTTGTTCAGAATTAGCCAAAAGATGAATTTACAAAATCAGTCAAGATGATTCTAGAAAAATTGGATAAACTTATTATCAATACCATGGGAACCATAAAAACTGTGGAATAATAAAACGACATCTAAGCAATTAAATTACAATTAAGCAAAACAAAACAAAAACCGGAGAGAGGTAAATCTATACAATGAAATGGTGATCGTCTTAAAAGGGCACAAAGACAACGACTCATAAATATTCTTTTAAAAGCAACGCCATAAATAGAACGGCAAAGGGAGGCAAGAACAAGAGAAACTTCGGACGTGTAGATGGAGAATGGAGAAAAAAGATGAACATTTGAAATTATTAATCAAAGCCTCGTACCATTTTATTTTACAAAAAATATAAAAAAAATAAATTATAAAAGCATTGTTAAAAGATTTTGTTGCTCCGTTTTTTATAGTATGAGGAAGTACGCAAAAAAAAACATTGCAATTAATCCATGAGCTGAAAATGCAATGGCTGCAGCTCAAGGTTTCATTTTTAAATTTGGATTATTTAAAAAAGAAAGAAAATAGCACCTTGAAAATCAACTATTCAGTTACGTTAAACGGGTCTTTGTGTGACAGTGCAGTGCACTATGTATTTTTCTAAATTGTTTAAAATTGTAACTGCAGTCTTAAAGTCGTCTTTCTTTATTGGTTACATTGTGATGATTAAGGAAACTATGGACTCAAAACATCGAAATAGTTATTATTATTATAGTCGCCCTATTTATCAAAATATAAAAATATTTTTTTTTAAATATCAAAATCCAAGAATTTTGTTTATTAATAAGCAAACACCCAAAAAAAGCATAGCACAAATTGTTCTGACAATTAATTTAATGAAAATCAAAGATAATTATTAAAAGTACTCTCGAGTCTCAAATAAATGTAGTGTACATGGCTGAAGCAAAATTTAAAAACAAACAAGAAATAATATAGATACAGGGCTCCAAAAAATAGTTCTGCCTCTGCAATTTGGCTAGCTGCAGAAAACATTAAAACAATTCATTTATTTTTATTTTCAAAATTAGCCAAAATATGATTGAAGGATGGACAAGGAATGGACGATCAAGAAGAAAGAATGAAAAACAAGAAATATAGAAGTCTCAAAATGTTTCCATCTGATATCATATTATAATTTTAAAATATTGTAAAATTTAATTAAAATAAATTATTAAAGTTAAAAATGTAGTGTACAAAAATGCTTGACCATTTAAATATTAAAAAAAAACATTTTCTTTACTATAAAAGTAAACCAAGACTATTTTAAAAATATTAATGGCGCGATCCCTGGATTATAAGGTTGTAAAGATCGGGATTAAAACACTAAAAATATTTATCTTGATCAGAAAATAATTTAGCAGATGCAATTTTCAGGGAAACTTCCCTTTAAAAATCTTTAAAATTCAAAAATGTTTAATGTTTCTACATGTAACAATTCTACGTAAATTAACCATTAATAGCAAAAAAATAATGCAAACAAAAAAAATTCAATTTCGTTTCCACAATTTATTTTTACAAAACAATCAGATTTTTGAAAAATAGCTATTAATATTTTTAACTGAAATAAATGTCTTCCTATTCTTATTGCTAGAATTGCGTGCTACAAACATTAAGTTTCGGAAATAAATTTCCATCACAAAATAGTTAAAAAAAATGGCAAAAGCTACACAGGGTGTCCCACGAAACATGAGAGTTGGCGAATAGTTTAAAATGTCTTCTTCCATATTTGATAAGTTGTTTGATACCAAAGATAATTATAAGAAATACTAAATGGCAGTAATATTATAGTAAAATTGCTTTAAAACAAATATATATTTGGGTAAAAGATTTGTTTAACGATTTGATAGACTGCAAAAGTCTTAAATAACTATTACAGTATCATTGAAGACGACATTGAAAACTATTCACCAACTGAGATGTTTCGAGGGACTGTACTTAAAATCTAAATACAAAAATATAGAAATTAATGTTCTCCTTTTGTCTATTGCAGATATACAGCTTTTTAATTTTTAAACGTCTATAAATAAAGTCATGATGAATAGATTTAGATCAGAATTTTTGTTCATGTGTTATTGAATGAGAAGCAAAGAAAAAAATATTATATATATATTATATATATACCGTTTTAATTTATTCACAATTGTGATTGTGAAAATCCGCGAATTATTTTTGTTTTGTTTTACGATGTACACAAAGAGAACATGTTCACAATTAATCTAGAAGATGGGCGCAAAGCGCCCTCTAAGGCTAGTTACTTACAAATAAAGGCAATTTTTTTATTGAACCGGTTTTATTCATTTATTTCTCAACTTGAAAAGTAACAAGAAACTACATACAATGATCGTTTTTTTAATTTAAGCAATTCAAAAAAATCTAATATTTGGACAATGTGCAATCTGTTGAATCTGATAGAGTTCATTTTTGTTTGTATTGTCTACCTAACATTTACATTACAGAACTGTTTAGAATTAGATAACTTTAGTCAAACAGTAGTCTTTCTTTTTCTCAGTTTTATGAATTTAGAAGACTGGACTCCAAACATCGAAATTATTATCTCAAAACCTATTCGAATTTAAAGTTTTCGCCATAAACAATTTGAGAGATTGCAATGTTCTAGCAATTCTTAAAGAAATGTAAATTAACCATTTTCAAAAGATAAAAATAGACCATTTTTAATTTCAAATAAAAGTTTCTATTTCTGTTTTTACAATGTAATTTTACAAAACAATTAAAAATGTTTTAACTTCTATAAATAATAAAGAAATAACCATCCATTTTTTCAAATGAAATTCATCCTTTGTTCCCTAACATTTTTATTGCTAATTTTAAAAAAGTTTTAGACATTTCCCAGTCAGGTAAAATCTGCACACAATCAAGTAAATTATTGTCTATCCAAGGGTGGGAATAGTTCGTTTGATTTCGTTAACATCTCTCTGCAGCTCTCGAATATCTGCTTTCAGTTCTCTAATATTGTCCCTAAAAAACAAAAACATTATTTGATATTTTAATTCTATTATAATCTAATATTCAAATCACAAAATAGCTTTTTGTCACTTATTTTTTATATAAGACACCATTTCTTATTTGTATACATCTATATATAAAACTATAAAGCTTGGAAACTCAGCTTTGCCTATTAACTAAATTTCGCTTTAAAATCCAACCCACTCAACCTGAACTTTAAAACCTTTCAGAACATTACCATGGTTCTACCGAATTCCCCAATCCAAATTTGAGGCAAATTGGTCAAGTGGATCACAAGCTATGGTCGGAGTGACAAAAAACAGAGATTACAAGTTATGTATAAAAAGTAATATATGCTTAGCTGTTTTAGGATGCTCTAACTCATGCATTAAATTTGTATTATTGTTATAATTACGAGAATGTTCATAGCTTCGTAAAAAATATCTTAGTAACTGAGGTTGACCCAAAGCTGGGTAACCCTTTGTTAAAGCAATAAATTAGTCAGAGTTTTAGGGACTATCAAAAATCCACGTTTTAAACAATTTTCCAATAAGAAATAACAGAAAAACAAATAATTGACCCTATTAAATAAACTTACAATAATCAAAATTCTCAGAGTCTTGGCGTTTTCAAAATGTGGTCTGCCATTTTTATCCGTCATTATTGCCAGAGATATTAAGAATTTTGCTAAAATTTCAATTATGAAATAAATGTCGAAATCATATCTCCAGTAATATTAAAATCACCTAAAAGGCAGACTACATTTTGAAAATGACAAGATTAATGGCGATTATTATCTCTGCTGGGGTACTTGAAAACCAGGATATGCTATTGTCCCATGTTTGATGTCCAAATATGACAAATGATACATCATTGCTCTACTTTTAGAATATGCAAAAAAATTGCATATTTGCAAAAATTGATTTTTTTTTTCGCAAAATCCAGTTATATAGTAAAAATGTTTGCAAAAGAAAATTTGCCCAGAAAATGAAAAATTATACATTTTTTAAAAGCCATTGACCATGCCATTTCAAATATGCAAAAAAATTTGCAAAATTTTAAATACCCTGATTTTTAATCAAGAAAAACTAAAAATGTGCAAATTTCCTTTGACAGGTTGTTTGCAAAAAATTTGCTATTTTTTCTCGCAAAACTTGTGCAATTCGTTTCCTTATGTCAAAGGCTTTCCAAAAAGCTAAATATTATCAAAATCTGACAAGTGGAAATGGGTCAAAACAAAGATTTAGTATGTTACAGGAAAAAGCAGTCATTCAGGCAGTGGGCCTGAGGATTCAGGCAGTTAGTATTAAAGCCAGGTTTTAGGCCTAAAGGGAGGGCTTTGGGTATGTAGGAAAAGTCAGAAAATTTCAACAGCCTTAGACCAATACTTTTTGAGTTATGTAAAAAAAAAAAAAATACAGGTGGGGGGTCAAATTGACCCAAGACTTTTTAAATAGGGAAAGTTCTTAATAAACTCTATATTTGTACTTTGTATGTTTGTATCAATGACACTTTAAAACGGCTGAAACGATCCAGCCAACAGCTGTTGTGGGATCTCACATCACCCAAGAAAAGGTTTTAGGATGGTCAGAGTTTAAAAAAGGCTATTTTAAACCCACACAAGAAAAAAGGGGTGAATCTTCTATTTTTTATCGTTTGATAATTTAAGAATAGAAAATCACCCTGGATTAATATTTTTCAGATAAAAAAATTAACTTTTACCTGATTAGATCTATAACCACAGAATCTTTCCCAGTGTTCACAGTTACGGAATTTGCTGGAAAAAAAATATTTTTGTTTGTGTCGTGTTATTATAACGAATAATATTCACTTACTTACCATTTGCATTGCTGCTAGACTGACTTGTAGTATTCGTATTAGAATTCGCATTCAAATTTGCATTCGAATTCGCATTTGAATTATCATCGTAATCATTATTGTAGGGCCTCCTGTTTCCGGGACCTCTATGCCCGATTTGACCTCGCCAGGGCCGGTTAACGATTACATCACCTATTCCATGAATAAGACCTTCGAGACCTATTTGTCTATTTACAACTGAATGTTGTACACTTCTATGTACACTGTACATAACTATAACTAAATACAAGTAAAGCTGCATGTCTGAAAGGTTTAAATGTAGAAGATTAAACCGTCAAGGGTTAACTAGTAAGTTTTGTGGTCACATTAATATATGTTTGCTAGCGGTCATTTTACCCCCAACCCCTTGCTTACTAAAAATGTTATTTAATTTAATTAAAATAGTCATTTTTATTTTTGACAAATATTTACATATTTGACACTTTTCTTTTGAATAAAGTTGAAATAAATTTTAGATCTGTAGCTTAATCATTAAACAAGTTTTTATTTACCTACCTTTGATTTTTTTTCAAACTGACTCACCGTTTGACCGTCCTCCACCCTACCCTCTGCAAAATAATGTTTTGCAAAATTTGTTTACAACTATGAAGTTGAAAAAAAAGTTTGAGTGTTCTAGTGTAAGTTGTTTTTAAGCTATTTAGAAGGGAAAAAAACACAGGGTTGTTATTCTTTATCACACAAAAATATACTTTGTAAAACTTCGCATAACGAGATTTGTTCTTTCAGAAAATTTACATAATTTTTAAATATTTTATTGTTTTTATTTATTTCCCTGCAATTAAAAATTAAATTAAAAATTGAAAATTAAAAATTAAAAAGTGACGGTATAAATTTAAATTATGTCTCACTGATTTTCACTTTTATTAATTTCATCATTATTTGGCTTTGATTTGATTTGACTTTCAAAATATCAATGATTACGTTTATTTGTGTGCAGTTAATTTCTTTTTAATAAAAAAATGACAACTTTTTATTAATTTTCTGTATATTTGGTGTTGTTATGAAGCGAATACGTTTATAAGTGGTATTAAATAAAGTTATCAAGTTGTATTATCGGCTGTGTAAATCAATTGCTTTGTTTCATGTCCCCTAAACTACATATTAAAAAATATAAAGTGAGTCTAAAACTCCTATTCCACAGTAACGGTCCTACGCAATTATACTCAATAAATAAAAAATCAAAAAATTTACCGCTTGCACAAATAATTACAAAGAACAAAAATAAAAACAAATGCATGTCTTTGCTCAATAAATACATTTTTTTCAAAGTTAAAAATTTCACCTAGTTTAAAGTTTAATCAGCGAAAATTTAAACTCAATTGATTGACATTTTTTTAAAACATTGCCTTTGTTAACGTTCAGGAGAAAAACCACAAATTTAATTCATACTCTCTGGTCTATTGATGTTTAAAATCCGTGAATAATTTAATTATTAGTGTGCAAACAAAAATTCGAATAAATGAAAAAATTCTTTAACCCTATTCCTGATAAAATTGGGAAAATCATTTAAAAATATTACAGAAAATTCCGTACTGTAAAATATCAAATAAAGAGATAGTAGGATAATCGTCCTTGTAAATGTATAGATTTTGTCTGTCTGTAATAAATATCGCGTAATTGTAATACATATCATGTCATTGTTATAAATATCGTGTAACACAATATCTGTAAACCTGAACTAAGTTATTAATTATCTATGCTGTAAATAACTACGTAACATGATTAAACATGTATTGTGATTAGCTCAACTACGTTTTTATATATCTGTGTTAATCTTAAATACTTACACTTAAACTTAAACTACGCTGTATAGATATATCGACGTAAAACTTGTAATTACGTCGATTAACGTTAACTTGTAACAAAGATCTCTAAATACAAATTAGTTTGTATAGACTCCGCTTTGATTACAGTGATAAGAGTAATTTGGTCCATGTTGAAACATGCTAGCTGAGATTGTGCCCATTGATCTGGTATTGATTTATTAAGTGCTTGTGTCCGTATTGACATTTATAGCTGAGCTTGTGTCTGTCATGTGGATTTAACGGTTCTGTCAATATTCCAAAAAGCTGTGACTTTCGATCACAATTCGATCCATTAAACACAATTCGTTAGTCTTTTTTCTTAAATACTTTTTTGTTGGCATATGCATTTTGAAGGAAAAAGTATAGTATAAACAAATCCGTAAGGTAAAAGATTGTTGAAGTATAAGACCAAAACACGTTTGATTTCAAATAAATGAAACCGAATGCTTTTCACTCTGGTTAGTCTTGGGTGCTGTGTTGACATTGATAGCTGATAAGATTGTGCCCATTGGTTTTGAATTGAGTGCTTAAGAGCTTGTGCCCATGTTGACATTGATAGTTGAGCCAGTGTTCCTGTGACATTGATAGCTGACGAGAGCATCTCCATTTGTTTGGCATTGATCACTTAAAGAGCTTGTGTCCCTGTTGATGGCTGACAAGATTGTGCCCATTGATTTTACATTAATGGCTTAAGAACTTGTGTCCCTGTTAACATTGCTAGCTGACAATTTGTACCTGGATTGATACAGTTCTGAAAGCAGTTTTACGAGTACGGCATTTATTACATGTCTGGTTGTATCCAATAAAAGTCAAAATTTCTACCGCTAAAAACTCACATGAACGACAAAAGGAAAGGTTTTGTTTGGTTCAAATGGAAAAATGTTAAACAGAAAAAATGTCGATATTTCGAAATTTTAGAAACCTATCAATGTCTACAAAAAATCCGCAAAATTTTAGCTTTTTCAAATTACGAAGAAAAAACGGCCTTAACTATTGTCTGAAGAGGGGCGCGAAGTGCACTTATAGTCTAGAAATGTAGAAGAATAAAAGAAATTTCAAAAGAAAAAATTCAATTTAAAAAAGGATTTTGTTGCGACAGTTATTTTACAAAACTGCAAGTTAGTTTAATAAATATACAAAGCAAACTTAACCCTAAAAAGACCGTATGTGGGGAAGCAATTTCTTACCCCCCCCCCAAGGCTGGGCGTGTTTCTGTTTTTTTTTTAAATCGTCCGTTCCTCGTTCTAGAACAAGGGCCTTACGCTAGATCGTTAGTTCTTTGAGAACGGTCCCGAGAACGTTTCAAAGGAACGGGTTGGAATGGGTTGAGGGGGGANGGGAGAGAGGTTGAGGGGGAAGGACTGAGTGGGGGAGAGGTTCGTTTCCTTTTTTTAGATAGTTCCAATATTTTTAAGAACGCGTTCTATGTGTTCGTTCTTTATTTTGAAACAATGGTATTGTTCTTGATAGTTCCGTTTGTTCTTGTGAAAGAACGATCATTCAGTGAGAATGACGCCAGCCCTACCCCCCTTTCCATATTTTAAACAACCACTTAGCAATAAAGAGATACAACTCCAGTGCAAGGAATATAAAGGGTTATAACTCTTTAATTCTACGACATTGGGTAGAAATTAGAAAATCAGAGTTTGTTACAAAAACTCAATTCCTTTCAATCAAGATAGTTTTTAATTTGTTGTATTTATTTTATAATTATTTACAATCATACTTTACAGGGAACTTAAGGGAATTTTACTTTACCAAGGGTTCCCAAGAAATGGTCAAAAATGGTGGAGGTTCAGGTAACCTGTAGATATTTTACTTTATTGTCCCAAGAGACGTTTTTACCTATAACCATCCTCTGTTAAATGAATCATGGGTCGGTAATGTTAGTCAGGAGGCGGTTAAAAAATATATTATTTTAACAATAAAAAAATTCATCTAATAAAGTTTCATGGACAATATCGATGACAGCAGTATAAATGTTTAAGACCCCAAGCCAATAAAATTCAACTGTAATTCGTAAATGGATTAGTTGTAATGGAACTTTGGGATAAATTCATTTTGTGGTTTTAAATTCCATGGCCTTCAAAGTAATTTAAAACAAAGGCCTTTCATAGATTCTGTACAGTTACACTGTACAGTGTAGGGATAGGTGTAAATCATATTGAAAAACATGGCATTGTCTAAATTTGATAAAAAGTGTTAAAAAGCATAAAAAATACATTTGAAAACACATTTGTGGTGCGGACGAAAAAATGGTGTGGTGTGCCTTCCACCGCTCATCTGAATAAATGTTCAGTGTTATGTGTTCTGTGTTCAGTGTTCAGTGTTCACAACAAAAACAAAAATATAATTCTGCAGATTTGTATGTGATATTTTGAATGTCAGAAAAGATTGCTATGAAAGAATGATTTTTTTTTGTTCTCAAATTGAAAATTTTGTTATAAAGGCACAATAAACTTAAGATTATATACCAAGAATGCAGTTGTGCTGCAATGGGTGTGCATACTGGGAAAAGTGCAATTTACTATTTTCTTTATTTATGCTTTAATGTCAGAAACGTAATTTTCTAAACAAATCCAGGCTTTATAGGAAAATGTGTTTCAATAGAAACGATATTGTTTATATAGGGTTTCAATAAACAAAGGTTTATTAAAGGGAAAACTTTAAAAATGTTGGTAAGGTTAAGAAGAAGTTTGTGAATATATCTTAACCCATTATGGGCGAGAGCATTTCCCTCAGAAGTGGCTAATATTTTGAACATTCGCTACATGTGACCAGATAACATATATGGGACATTTAATTTTTTTTAAAAATTTTATTTACATTTGGAGCCATGGACAATCGTCGATATCAACGTTTTCGGATCTGATGAGTTAATACTCAATATCCACTTTTTCAAAACAATAAATTGTACTGTTAAACAAAATCAACAATTTTCTAATACAAAAGTATAAAATATTTGACAAAGGGTGTTTTGTAACATTATTTTTAAGGAAAAATTCTCGGAGCTTTGTCGACGTATCTCCTTGATTTATAGATTTTATGAAAAATTGGAATAAAATAGAATAAACATTTTAAAATCGATTTGTGAGGGAAAGAAATAAATTTCACATGAAAAATGTTGCAAATTGTTTTAATTATGTGCTAAAATTTGTTTGCATTATGTCAACTGCATTTTAACCATTTTCAACCTAAAACATTAACCCTGCAAAGAAAATTAGAGTAAAAAAATTGCCAAAACTATTATTTTATTATCAGGGTATAGTAGTAATCAATTATTAATTTATCTATCCACGTTCATTTTTATAAATATTTATCATATNTTGGGGTGTATGACTTTTAACTAATCTTGAGCAGAACAAAATAATAGAAAGACTTTGATAACAAACTGGAAATAGATTTATTGATATTTCGTTTTTATTTGTATGCGTGAGCTTGTGCCCACAACCCTTATCCAAAAATAAATATTAAAGTTAAAAAATAA